CCATGACTATCTTCTCCTGATTGTGTTGGCATAGTGCGGAGTCTTGTGGCCAGATATAGGGTTTTCCAGCAGCTACCTTCTTGACCCAGGGCAGCACTACCCTCTCAAGCTACTTGATGTGGCCATCCGTGTTGAGTTTGAGGTCCTGACCAACAAATTCGCGAATTATTTTTTATCAGAACGATCAGAGTGTCTTTTCCGAGCTGCGGTACCTTCGTAATCACCATTAGACTCATACAACTCTTTTCGGTTCTTTTGTACTGTCCCCCGATCGACACCCAAACACAATGAAATATTCGTATTTTGACTTCCAGTGCAAATGCCAATCCGTACAGCATGGCGTTTCCAAATTTCTGGTGGAGTGAATTAAGTCATTGTTATGGTCCAGGTTAGGACCAAGGAAGAACAACACGAACACAAGAGTAGAAATAACGAAGGTATATTACACGAAATAATAATACAAGATGTGGAAGGTGTTAGTATGACTGTCAGTCTGGTTTGGAGTGAACTACTATCGGCTCGACTCGATTCGATTCGGTATTTACCTTCCCCCCCCCACGAGGGAAAGATGTGGCACAAGGCCGAGTTTTATGTGGGTTTTCCTTGGCCGTAGGCTCGGCCAAAAAATGCCCGTAGAAACAGTAAAAACAGAATCGGGTTGGTCAACCTCCCCGAACGAGACTCTGTCCTTCGGCGAAGCCTCGTCCGGGTTCCTCTCTGCTCAGAGACAGAGAGTTCGACCGTCAAGCCGAGAAGCTTGGCTCGATTCGGTATCTAGCCACTACCCCAAGAGAGTTGCATGTAACACAAGGCCGAGTTTAACGTGTGTTTCCCGAACTCGTAGGCTCGGCCAAAAATGCCCGTAGAACCCGTATAAATGGGATCGGATTGGTCAACCTCCCCGAACGATAGACTGCCCTTTGGCGGAGCCTCGTCCGGGTTCCTCTCTACTCAGAGGCATAGAGTTCGACCGTCGATTCGGTATCTAGCCACCCCACCCCCCTACGAGGGTTGCATGTGGTACAAGGCCGAGTTATACGTGGGTTTCCCGAGCCCGTAGGCTCGGCCAAAAAATGCCCGTAGAAACTAAAAAACAGATTCGGGTTGGTCAACCTTCCCGAACGAGGCTCTGCCCTTCGGCAAAAATGTCATTCAATGGATCATATTTTTTTTCTTGTTTCACACACTCATCGTACGTATTCCGCACTTGATCCAGTTTTGCTTGCATGACTTGAGTTGATAAATTTAGGAAATTTAATTTATTATATATATTTATTATATGTAAAATATATTATTTAGCTATTTTCATTCATACATTTTTTCCTTCGTTTTTGGATGCTTCAAGAAACAAATAGCGACCAACAATTTGGATTTTGAGTTGTATCCTGCTTTTGCTTTACAGTAGTAATTCTTCGAGTGAAACAGTTCTTCTGTTCTTATGTGATTCTTGAAATCTTATGAGATTCTTCGATCAGATCTTCTTGTTTCTTTCAGCACTTTTTTATGAGACATTGCAGTTAAAACTAAATCCTTGGAGATCTTCAGCAAGCAAATAAGCGTTACTCAATCATAAAGCTTATATAGTTTGAAAATGAATAAAAAAAATTGATCACAAATAAAACAAATTTATCCTATTCGCTTTATCTAAATGACAATCTAGCCAGCGCTCACACTAATATAGCCACACAGAATGAACGTCATACATTTACAGAATGTTCTAGAAGGCTCCAGAAATTTCTAAGAGGCTCAAAAAGTTTTAGGAGATTCATAAATTTCTATAAGGTTCCAGAATGTTCTAGAAAGCTCCGGAAATGTATAGTACTACTAGACATATTTGGTTCTAGAAATTTCGTTTTGGGCTGTCATTTTTTTAATAAAATGAATTAAACCCTTCTTCATTGTTTTTTTGTTTTTTTTTTGTTTATATATATATATATATATATATATATATATATATATATATTATAAATTAATTGATTTAAAATATGTTTTTTTCCGCTACACAGTTCTAACCATGTTTCAATCTTTACTGTTCTTTTCTTTATATATATATATATATATATATATATATATATATATATAAAAGTTCATCGAAATAGGATTTTTGGGCAATTCACCCCAAGCAAGGTGGGAGTGCCACTAGCACGCAAGGGGTTACAGAGTTTTAAGAGTAACGAGGCGTGTTTGAGGATACAGAGAAGGACGGAGAACAAGATCAGTCTGTCAGATGTCGATTGACATTACACTTGAATATTTGAAGATTATAGTCATCGTGGAAGCAAGTAAGAGAAAGGGAGTTCCACAGACTGGAAGTACGAAAGAGGAAGCTGTTTAAGTAGAAGAGGTGGGGACCGAGATTCCAGCCTGGTACCATGTTTAAATTCATGGTCCGGGAACCAGAGAAAGTAGCTCGTCGGAACGGTTGCCGTGAAAATATTTGTAGAAGAGACAGAGGAAGGACACTGCACGTCTGTGGCATAGCGATTGTAGACTAGATGCCAGTACAGAAAATCAATTATTTTAAAAAATGACGTAACCCTAATGCTCATGGAAAGGTAAATAAGTACATATTATAAGGACACATGCGACGGGTAACAATTTACCATGAACAGATCAAGATTCTAATGATCGGAGAAGAATCCTGTTGGGAATTTGTTCTGTAATGTAGCGGCTCTGACGTTGTTAAGAATATTTTATTCGACCAATTAAATTGATTGAATGTTTAATGTCCAATATAAATCCTTTTTTTTAATTCCAAACTAATTAAATTAATGCTACTAAAGAGATTCAGTTTAGCTTAATGTAGTACCAGAACTAGCACACTCCCCAGTACGTATTGCGGTAACGAGTGCAGCAAAATACATATATCTGGTATACTCAAATTTTACAATGACTGTAAACGATTGTTGCTCTGTGAGGAAACTAACCAGTATTATCTACCATATCGGATGGTCGATATTACAAAACACTTTAATTCCCTTTTCTTTGCTTTTTAACGAAATTCTTATGTGTCTTAATAATTTGCTTAGCTTTTGGAAGACACCTTTCGTTATCACATTCGGAGTACGGTGTTGTACTTTCCGCCTTCTGTGAAAATACTTCTTCGATATTGGAATTGTTGTACTCGTTTCATTTTGGTATCCCCAATTTGCATATTGTATTAATTTTTTTGCTAAGAATCTTGCAAATTTTTTCTAGACATTTTTTTTCGCTTTCATTACCCGCCTGATTTAGAAATTCTTGAAGTTTCCTTTCGGGTGTCTGCTATTAACACTGATTCATCTACATAGCTTATGTTGTTAAGATTGTGGCCACCAATATTGAATCTGCGTAGGTCTTCTAATTCTCTCAGAATAACCTCGCTCTATAAGTCCGACAAGGAGATATATCCTTCAGTATCTTTCTATATTTCTGAGATGAGGTATTATGTACATTATTTACATTATTCGGACTATTGTCCTCATCTTTGTCGCCATATTTATTACAACGTTTCGGCCGTTGTAAGCTCCGGCCTTCTTCAGATAGTTGGAATGTCGAACTGAACCCTTTATTTCGCTCACTGGGGGAGACTGTTCTAGTTCTACGTGCCATGTTTTTAATGGATGTCAGTTATCAGTTATCTCCAGTTAATTTCCCTCTGAAAGTTCTCCACTGCCTTAACCGGGTATTGAACTCACACTCACTCACTCCTCGAGGACACATGTGGATAAAGGCGTTGGTTAGATCTAATGACAGGACCCAAATAATGTAAATAATGAGCTATATCCTTGTCTTACAAACTTTTCTATTCTTGTATATTTATTGAATTCATTTTCCATCAAGCATTATAGCTTTCTCAAATTTCTCTGAATCAAACTCTCTTTCATTTATTTAACATAACTATTTCCTTCAGCATGTGCAGGTGGTGTAATTTATAGCGACTCTCAATAAAAAATCGGGGAATCAAGATCTAGTTACAGTCAGGTTGGTTACATTCACTTACACTCAAATATCTTTGGGATATATTTGAATCCATAGCCTCTCCCAGCTACGGGTTAAAAAGCGTGACTAGTATCTTGAAAATTTATTTATTCTCAAAAATTTGTTAATGCAATATTCACTCGCAAAAAAATAATTTTTCTTACAATCCAAAATTAATTCAGAATCAAATGAATTGCACTATTTATATTATTCAGACTATTTTCCTCATCTTTGTTGCCATATTTATCACAACATTTCGGCCCTTATACGCCTTCTTCAGGTGGTTGGAATGTCGAACTGAATCCTATATTTCGCTCGCTTGGGTAGACTGTTCTAGTTCCACATGCCATGTCTAATGGATGTCAGTTATCAGTTATCTCCTGTTAATTCCCCTCTCCAAGTTCTCCACTGCTTTAATCAGGTATTGAAATCACAACTCTTTGGGACCTGTCATTGGATCTAACTAACGCCTTTATCCACTGTGCCCTGTGTCCTTAAGGAATAAACAGGAGATAACTGATAACTGACATCCATTAGACATGGGACGTGGAACTAGAACAGTCTTCCCCAGCGAGCGTAATAAAGGGTTTAGTTCGACATTCCAACCACCTGAAGAAGGCTGGAGCGTACAACGGTCGAAACATTGTGATAAATATAGCAACAAAAATGAGTCCGAATAATGTAAATAATGTACATAATACCTCATCTCAGAAATATAGAGAGATATTAAATGGATTGATTTGGTTTTACGGCTATCAAACTTTTCCACGTTACTTAAAGACAGAAAATATTTTTAGAATTGTAAGATTTTTTTGCGGGAAGGAAATAATCATGATTTACTGGTAAAAATTCTACTAATTAATCCATAGATATGGCGTCGTACCTTTCCCAAAGAGATTTGCACGAAAGTAGATATAACCAACTCGACTGGAATTTAAAATCAGCTCTCTAATTTCCCATTCAAAGCCGTCACCCATTATACCACCCACACATCCAAGTTTACAGCATCTGGTATGACCAAACGGTTTACAGCACCTGGTATGACTAAACGGTATACAGCACCTGGTATGACCAAGCGGTTTACAGCACCTGGTCTGACCAACCGGTTTACAGGACCTGGGATGACCAAACGGTTTACAGCACCTGGTATGACCAAACGATATACAGCACCTGGGATGACCAAACGGTTTACAGCACCTGGTATGACCAAACAGATACAGCACCTGCGATGGCCAATCGGTTTACAGCACCTGCGATGGCCAATCGGTTTACAGCACCTGGTCTGACCAAACGGTTTACAGCACCTGGTATGACCAAACGGTATACAGCACCTGGGATGACCAAGCGGTTTACAGCACCTGGGATGACCAAACGGTTTACAGCACCTGGTATGACCAAACGGATACAGCACCTGCGATGGCCAATCGGTTTACAGCACCTGCGATGGCCAATCGGTTTACAGCACCTGGTCTGACCAAACGGTTTACAGCACCTGGTCTGACCAAACGGTATACAGCACCTGGGATGACCAAGCGGTTTACAGCACCTGGGATGACCAAACGGTTTACAGAACCTGCGATGACAAAACGGTTTACAGCACCTGGTCTGACCAAACGGTTTACAGCACCTGGTCTGACCAAATGGTATACAGCACCTGGTATGACCAAACAGTTTACAGCACTTGGTATGACCAAGCGGTTTACAGCAGCTGGTATGACCAAACGGTTTACAGGACCTGGGATGACCAAACGGTTTACAGCACCTGCGATGACCAAACGGTTTACAGCACCTGAGATGACCAAACGGTTAACAGCACCTGGGATGACCAAACGGTTTACAGCACCTGGTATGACCAAACGGTATACAGCACCTGGGATGGCCAAACGGTTTACAGCACCTGGTATGACCAAACGGTTTACAGCACCTGCGATGGCCAATCGGTTTACATCACCTGAGATGACCAAACGGTTTACAGCACCTGATCTGACCAAACGGTTTACAGCACCTGGTCTGACCAAACGGTTTACAGCACCTGGTATGACCAAACGGTATACAGCACCTGGGATGACCAAACGGTTTACAGCACCTGCGATGACCAAACGGTTTGCAGCACCTGGTATGACCAAACGGTATACAGCACCTGGGATGACCAAGCGGTTTACAGCACCTGGGATGACCAAACGGTTTACAGCACCTGGGATGACAAAACGGTATACAGCACCTGGTATGACCAAACGGTTTACAGCACCTGGTATGACCAAGCGGTTTACAGCACCTGGTATGACCAAACGGTTTACAGCACCTGGTATGACCAAACGGATACAGCACCTGCGATGGCCAATCGGTTTACAGCACCTGCGATGGCCAATCTGTTTACAGCACCTGGTCTGACCAAACGGTTTACAGCACCTGGTATGACCAAACGGATACAGCACCTGCGATGGCCAATCGGTTTACAGCACCTGCGATGGCCAATCGGTATACAGCACCTGAGATGACCAAACGGTTTACAGCACCTGGTCTGACCAAACGGTTTACAGCACCTGGTATGACCAAACGGATACAGCACCTGCGATGGCCAAACGGTTTACAGCGCCTGCGATGGCCAAACGGTTTACAGCACCTGCGATGGCCAATCGGTTTACAGTACCTACGATGACCAAACGGTTTACAGCATCTGGTATTCCTAAACGGTTACGCTTGGCGTTGCTTTACTTCGATGATTGTACAGGAACCGTCGTTTCAACGTGATATGGTCATTTAGCCTGTCTGTCGGATTTAACCTACAAAAGGTCGATAAACCGTAAAAATCAAATCAAATATTTCCGACCAACTAGAAAATATTATTCATTCGCTATTATAATCTAGGGCCAAACGCTCACTTTTCGACCAGTGAAAATGGTTATAGCAGCTTTTAAGATGTTCGTACGCATAATTGTGTTAGGGTTAAGGCAATGGTTAAGAAGAAGCTGAGTGATGAAAAATAGTTTATGTTCTTTCGCAGAAAATCCTTCGGGGCGAATGGTTCCATCAGCCACTTCAAACTCAAATCACAGATTCAGTTTTCCGCGCTAACGCCATTACACACTTCCGGGAGTTTATTAAAATTAAACCCCATCAGATGTTTCTTTCTGCTTCGACGAGAGGTCAACGATGTTTGAACTGCTCTTCCAGCGTGTATAAAGCGTAGAAGAAAATATAATTAGTCCCGGGTTTCCCGTATATAATGTCTGCAAGATATCGATTCAAGAAAAAAAAAAGTCGGTTATATTAAAGAACTTAAAGAAATATGTTGAATAGCGGCCTGTAAGAAGAGTGATTCTTTGATAGCCTAATCGATATAACGCCATGTTAACTGTAAGCGTTTAAGGAGTTTTATTGGTTTGTCTTCTTCAAATGTTTATTACTTTAAACGTTATTTTTAGAGGATACCCGTATTTGAGTAAACGTTTTATTTATTAAATAGTACATTTATTTATTTCCGTCTCTCGGGCAGAATATTCGAGAAATCTTATTAGAGAAAAATAGATATTCTCCAGCAGGATTCGAACTTGTGTTCCCCTAGAAGAAACCGTCATTAGATGTGATGTGCTTTGGAACACGCGACTCCGAATCGCGTTGACAGCCAAACAAAGTTGAATTATAGCTTTAAACAGATTTTTTTCTCTTGGAAAAACATATCTACAGCAAATAGTCATTTTCTAACGTAAACAAAGAAATTTCTAAAGAAAACTATTCCTTTTAATATATTAATACGAGAAAGTATTATTACTTCAACAAGCACAGAGCCACAACCTGTGATTTATGATACAACTCTACTAAAGAGACATTAGATACAGGTTCCCGGATACAGCGCATAATCTGGCAGAATTGACAGTTTACCAAGAGTACAAGACGGTTAATTCTTTTTTTTAGGGGGTGGGGGGTATCATACGGAAGCTTATCTTTGATTCCACATCTTGGTATTCTGGTGTAAATGCTGAAACCTCCAGACGAGCGGACTGCACTTTTCGAAAATGGTTTGCCTACAAAAACACCAGAGTCAAATTACTATATTAGTTAAGTGAAAATGAAAATATATATATATATATATATATATATATATATATATATATATATGAATATAAATATAAAAGTGAACATTGATATCAACACTCCAGCTGTTTCATGCAATAGTCTTGACGATTGCTTCTAGCATGAAACAGCCTGTCGTTTCTGAGTGTTGACATTAATGTTCGCTTTATATTTATATTTACATACACTTTATCTCTGATACTGAGTACTTTATCCCATAAATATAGCACACATTAAAACTATATATATATATATATATATATATATATATATATATAGGGGCGTGTCACAAATACTTTTACAAACTTTTGTGCCTGTTCCTCACACCGAAAACAAGGACAAATTTACATATATATATATGTCCGCAAATGATCCGTTTTTTGAGGTATTAAGTTTAAAGTTGACGCTGTTAAAAATTACAATCCAAGATACAATTAAAAAATTCTTGTTCAAAATTTTAGGACCGGTTTCCTGACACCAAAACAAGTTAAAATGTCCATATAAACATATCACGAAAAGGCCATCGTTGTACATCAACACAGCAAGTCAACAAATGTTCAAAATTTTCTTCGCTTACGTCTACACCCGTCAGATCATTGACTGGCGAACTCTTTAAATATACCCACACAATTTCAAACGGATTCGCATGGCCCCATGACACGTAGCGTCTCTGCAGTATTAATGTCTGCCGCATAAACCAATTGTTTTAGGCGTCCTCACAAATAAAATCCATAGGATTGGCGTAGGGCGAACGTGCAGTCCATGGAACGGTCCACCCTACCTATCCATCTTTTGTGGTAGATGGCAATTAGTGCATGGCGAAGAATGTGGCTGAAATGAAACATGCATGAAACGTAGGCAACGCGACGATAAACAGAAGCTAAGGTTGGGTGATTCAGTTGACTTCGGACCGGAAACGCAATCTGATACAGTCGTGCAGCTTGGAGTCCATTATTATTCGCACGACCGTATGCAAAAATCATATATGCTTGCTCATGATATGAATATCCTGCCACTGTTAAACGGAAAACTTTTTATTTAACTCACTACTTCACACATTAAACGTTGAAGATAGACTTGCCTCGAATATACAGGACTGACAGATGTAACCTAGTCTACATAATAACACAACGCTATCTCGAAGGAAGGATTTGCGGACGTATGTTTATGTGAAATTTTCTTCTTGGTTTTATGTGAGGAACCTCTCCCCAATGTCTGTAAAAGTATTTTTGATAAAACCTGTTTATATATATATATATATATATATATATTGATAATATTAGTGGTAAATATACACATACATATGCAATCATATATCTAATATATATATATATATATACACCCCTCGATTTCTTCAAATATTTAAGTATATCTCTTCATGAGACAGCATTGAAAAAAAAAACTTTTGACACAATGAAAAGTAGTCTGTCTGCAGCATATATAACAGAGTTAATTTCTTTTCCTCTCAAAATAACTCAAAATATAGCCATTAAAATCTAAATCCCTGGCAACAAAAGTGAGTACACCCTAAGAAACTACACCCTAAAAAGTGAGTACATCCCTAAGAAACTACACCCTAAATGTCTAAATTGAGTACTGCTTTTCATTTTCCCTCTAAATGTCATGTGACTCATTAGTGTAACTATGCCCATGTGTTCATGGGAGCAGGTGTATTCAAATTTGTAGTGCAGCTCTAACATTCTCTTACCGGTCACTGAAAGTTCCAACATGGCACCACATGGCAAAAACTCTGAGGATCTTAAAAACGTATTGTTGCACTACATAAAGATGACCAAGGCTACAAGAAGTTTGCCAACACCCTGAAACTGAGCTGCAGCACAGTGGCTAAGATCATCCAGCATTTTAAAAGAGCAGGGTCCACCAGAACAGGCCTCCAGGTAGGTCGTCCAAAGAAGCTGAGCGCACGTGCTGAGCGACACATCCAAATGCTTTCTTTGAAAGATCGGCGTAGGTGTGCTGTTAGCATTGCTGCAGAGATTAAAGAGATTGGGATTCAGCCTGTTAGTGTTCAGACTACATCAAATTGGTGTGCATGGCTGTCACCCCAGGAGGATGCCTCTTCTGAAGGCAATACACAAGAAAGCCCGCAAACAGTTTGCTGAAGACATGTCAACAAAGCCCATAGATTACTGGAACCATATCCTATGGTCTGATGAGACGAAATTTAATTTGTTTGATTCTGATGGCCTTAAGCATGTGTGGCGGCGACCAGGTGAGGAGTACAAAGATAAGTATTTCATGCCTACAGTCAAGCATGGTGGTGGGAATGTCATGGTCTGGGGCTGCATGAGTGCTGCAGGTATTGGAGAGTTACATTTCATTGAGGGGAAACATGAACTCCAACATGTACTGTGAAATACTGCAGCAGAGCATGATCCCCTCTCTCCAGAAACTGGGTCGCAGAGTAGTGTTTCAGCATGACAATGACCCCAAGCACACATCCAAGACAACCACTGCTTTACTGAAGAAGCTGAGGGTAAAGGTGATGGACTGGCCAAGCATGTCTCCAGACTTGAATCCAATAGAACATCTTTGGGCCATCCTCAAGCATCCTTTGTGGCCGATTGGTAATGCACGTCAGCGTAAATGACGGTTCCGTATAGGATGCAGGTTCGAATCCTGTCAAAGGACGAATATTTTCTATGAAAATTTCTTGGACATTCAGGCCGGTAAATGTTATTTAATACTGTTCATTATAAACAGAGCATTTACTTAAATACTTGTATCTATAAAAAAGAACGTTAAACATAAAAATGTCTTAAATAAATTGTCGGACTTTGTCCATTTCTGAATATATATATATATATATAATTTTAAAATGCCAATATTATACTTCTTATCACTTTATATATTTTCTGTCCGCTCTTTCCCAGCTGTTCTTTATCATGTGCAGAGAGGAAAACAGTTGCTGGTGTGCAGTGGAATTAGCGAAACCAGTTCATGTTTTTATGAAAACCTTCATAGCAATTCTGCCTAAAACTTTAGGGATTTCATAATTTATTGGGATGTTCAGCATGTAATTATATATTTCACGTTTAGGAATTACGAGTCAACAAATTATGGCTTAATAGTGATAATCCAGTATTAGTTTTTCTTCTCTTTAATTTATTTTATTTTTGACTCAAATATGATTTTTTAATCTTTCCACACGAAGCAAGGCGATAATGCTAATAAGACAAATTATTACAGGGAGTGAAATTAAAAGAGAATGGGAAGACTGAAAATCGGAAGAATGAAGAAAGGACCAAAAAGAAAAGAAAAAAGACGGAAGATAGCAATTAACGTTGCATTTAATTTTTTGAAGATTGTAGTTATCAGGGAAGCAAGAAATCAGAATGGAGTTTCATAGCTCCGATAAGAGATAAAATTATTTTAGTTGTTGCAGGTGTCAAAATCTATAGGTGATTGTGATCTTTTTTTTTTTTTTGTATAGTGATTTGGTTGTGATTGTGTAGCGCCCGTTTACGTAGTTCAAAGAACTATGGTCTTCGCTAAGACATACAGTCTTCATTAATTTTGTTTGAAAAAGAACTGCGAAAACTGTGACCACTCTAAAATGATGTA